TTTATCTCATCCTTTAAAAAATTTCATTTTTGCGAATGCTGTATTATATACATAACTGACTCATATATAGCAAGGCATATCATTTAAATATTTAAATAGAAATTATTTATATATATTGGGGATATGTGATCAAATACTTTTATCGATATAGGTGTGGAGCAGAAGGCTTCAAAGACCCATGGAATAGGCCAGCCATGATAGTGCGCTCCTGAAATCCCAGCACTTTAGGAGGCTGAGGTGAGTGGATTGCTTGATCCAGGAGTTTGAGACCGGCCTGGACAATATGGTGAAACCCCGTTTCTACTAAAAAAAGTATAAAAATTAGCCAGGCATGGTGACACCCACCTGTATTCCCAGCTACTCAGGAGGCTGAGGTGGGATGATCACTTGAGCCCAGGAGACTGAGACTGTGGTTACGCCACTGCACTCCAGCCTGGGTGACAGAGCTAGACCCTATCTCAAAACAAAAAACAAAAAACAAAAAAGATCCCTGGAATAGTCTTTGAAAAGCGATATTTGCATGTCTCCTACCTGAGACAGGGCTAAAGCTGTAGACTCCAGCCTGGTGCTCAAGGGGCTTCAGAAAGTGTGAGACTGGACAGTGCATCTGTAAAAAACCCCAAACCTCCCCTTTTCCTTCCACCAGAGCACTGTCCTATGAGCAAAAACTGCAGACATCTCTGAGCCATGGAAGAGACAACTGGGCTAGGGACCAGTTCAGTGCAGACCTACATTTCAACCACCATGATGAAGGTTTGGGGATGTTATGATCACATTTGTTTTTTACTTCTTATAATACTGAGATGTACTTGTGAGAATACAGCTGTACAGGAGAAGCCAGTACTGAGAAATAATTTAATATTCATCCTTAAGTGTCAGGAAGGTTATTCTAGGAAGGCAGGTGACCAGCTACTCCTCCCTGAGCTCAGAGTACTAAGAGATGGGTGTAAACCTCTACGAGTGAGGTTCAGGTTACAGTCATGAAGACACAGCGAACTTCATCTGAGTCCTGTTGTCAAGCCTGTCTTGGACACTATACACCCCATCTGTTAGTTAGTAGAGTGGCAGTGCGGTCGGGAAAGAGCACTGAACAAGGAGCCCTGGAATCCTGTAGAGACCTTTTGGCTTCCATGACCTTAGGCATTGCCAGATGTGTCCATGTATGGATCTCATTTTCTTCTTTTTTAAATAAGGAAGGGCATGGTTTATGGTCTCTGAGCTTCTTCCTTCCACTTCAACCACTGGTTCTATGCTAAGTCTAAGTGTTGGAAGGTAGATACTCTTGAGTGTTTTCCTAAGCCAGAATCAGTTGTCTCTAACCCAGGTCAATATACTAGCTGCTGTAGCAAACAAATCTCAAAACATACAATGGCTCACGCATGGTAGAAGTTTACTTCTTGTCCACAAAAGCTCTAAAATGTGTTTGCCTAATAAGCAGGCCATTTTCCTCCAAGCGGTTATACAGGGAAGCAGGATCTTTCCTACTTGAGGTTCTGACATCTTAGATACTTGGCTCCAAGGTAGCTATGCTCATTTACATCGAGCGGTGGAAGAGGAAAAAGCATAGGCAGTTGAGCCTGAGAGATTTTTAAGGACCGACTAGGAAGGGTGTGCATTAATTCCGGTCAAATTCCATTGGCGAGAAATCAGTCACATAGAAACACCTAAATACAAGAGAGTCTGGTAAAGGCAGTTCAGCTCTGTGCCCAAGAAAAAAAGGAAATGGATTTAGCCAATAGGAATCAATCTATGCCATAGAAAGGAGAGTTTAAAAGAGAAAGAATTATGCGAATTGAAGAAGAGTAAGATTGGGGTGATGTTAATTATCTTCCTCTTTCTGAAGAGCTAGAAGTCCTCAGCTGCAGAAGGATGGCAGCGCCTGGGCTTGAAAAGATTTTTTCGCTTATAAGGAAGAGCCCTGGACAAAGACTTAAGACGCACTAGGTTCTACTTTGGGTGTCTCAAACTATCTATAAACAGTTTTCTGAACGTAATTTATCTGATCGTGATTCTTCAGTTTCCTCATCTGTCCATGGTAACTAAAATGCATACTCTAACTACTTGACAGGATTGTTTTAAAAGTCAGGTATAGCAACAGCATGCACATTTCGGGAAAAAAAAAGATTAAAATAGAGAATGAGTTTAAATTGCAGATGGAGAAAATTAAGTTGGATAAGGAAAAAAGAAACAACTTCCCCCATAGTGGAACAAAGAAAATTTTTGGAGAATGTCCAAATAACTTCAAGAAATCAGTGGGAAACAATTTTGACAAGAGTGGAAAGAAGTCTCAAACTTGGAGGGTAGCTTGTGGGGGTCGGCACAGGAGGCATGGATTATGGTTCTGGCACTACACGCAAACGGCTGTTTGACCCTGACCGAGTTTCCTCCCCTCTTGGGGAATGTGAACTCCATCAGTGCAGAGACTTTTTCCTGTTTTGGGTACAACTGTATCCCTTGTGACATCTTGTAAGCATTCAATAGATATTAACTAAATGAATGAATGAACCCAGGAGGAGAAACCGACCATAGGGCCTCTGCAGAGCGTCAAACATTCTTCCACAAATGGAGGAGAGCTGGGGACTTGATTTTGTGGCCAGAGATGAAGCTGGGGCCTCCCCTTCCAGCCTGGAGCAGAGGTATTTGTGCAGGGCATGTGTCTCTGACACTGGGAGCCAGCTGTCTCTGCCCCACAGCCCTGATCAGATCCAGGCACTCAGCGTTCTGTGCCTCCCTGCTTTTCTCTTTTTTAGGAGGCACCTGGCTGACCTCCCAGGGGGGTATAGCTGGCTGCTTCTCTAAGCCACTTATTCTTGCTCTTAAGAAATGACTAAGCGGATTCTCCATCTTCTGGTAGCCTGCTGCCAGCCTGCGAGACTTGATGCTTTTCTGAAAGAGCCCCCTTCTTTTGCTCTGTATGTAGGGAAAGCACGAGGCAGACGTCATCATCGTTTCCTCCTTTGCAATGGCCTGACTCACCTCCTCTTGGTGTATGGCTCTAGGCTGACCCCCAAAAGGAAGACGGAGGCAGAAATTGGCATGATTCCTACCCTTGGGACTCAGCGTCCAAATCCTGCTGGATATTACAGAATGACTGGTAGAGAATATTCAGATGGTGACCTAATAATACCGGCACCACTTTTGCTAACAGATTGCTAAGTGCCAGGCACCATGTTAACCTCCTTAGGTACCTTAACTCATTTGATTCTTGCAATCACCTTGTGCGGTAGGTACTGTGACTTTATAGGTGAGGAAACGGAGGCAAAGGAAAGTTGAGGAGCATTCCCAAGGTCATATGTCTCAGCAGCTGGGGACTGTGTGGAAGTACAGGACCCTGTTTTCAATATACTTGCTTGTCTTGTCCAGGGTGCTTCTACACAGTGCCGCACAGACAGCTCCTAAAGTGCAGAGCAGCAGGAGCACAAAGAAAACCCCAAGTAATTCTTCCAAGGCTCTCTGCTGCCACCCACTTAGTTTACTTCAGGAAGAGACCTCTGCCAAGTTCAGTGTGAAGTTAACATATTTAATGTGAAAAACTGGTTTAGAAGTGAACTAAATTGTGGACTAGTTGGTATAAATAAAGCTAGAAAAGACTTTGCAGAATCATTTATATGTTGACATTTATTGCAGATCATCAGGAGAGTGATATATCAGAGTGTCATTCCTAAGTTCAATTGACCAGAGAATATGATTTTTTCCCCCTTAGGAGTACCTTAGGGGCTAGAGTTCCAGGAACACTCTTTAGAAATTGCTGAGCTGTGCAGATATACCCGCTGACCTATAAAGCTGCCTTGGACATTCCTCTTTCTATTCCACTGCCCACCCCACTTTCCCCATCTGGAATCCATCCGTCTGTCCGTACATCCATCCATCCATCCGTCCACCCACTTAACATCTGCTGTGTTCTACGTAATATACAAGGTGTTTTCTCTCAAGTCATCTTGTTAATTTTTGCCACAGCTCCATTTCACAGAGAAAGAGGTAACAGAGATTGGTTGCAGTGGCCCATGCCTGTAATTCCAGCACTTTGGGATGTTGAGACAGGCAGATCACAGGTCAGGAGTTCAAGACTAGCCTGGCCAATATGGTGAAATCCTGTCTCCACTAAAAATATAAAACTCTGCCAGGTGTGGTGGTGCATGCTTGTAGTCCCAGTTACTGGGGAGGCTGAGGCAGAAGAATCACTTGAATCCAGGAGGCACAGGTTTCAGTGAGCTGAGATTGCACCACTGCACTCCAGCCTGGGCGACAAAGCGAGACTCCGTNAAAAAAAAAAAAAAAAAAAAAAAAAAAAAAGAGGTGATAGAGACAGGAGACAGACAAGGGTCTCCTTTGAAAACCCACCTAAAGCCTAAAACAAGCCGACAAGCCTGAAGGCTAAAAAACCAGACTGCTGGTCCTGGGAAAAGCCCACCCCTTCCTGACAGATTCTCTTGGATGGTGCCCACTTGCCCACTGGGGGAAGCGGGTGGAGCAGGGAGGAGGAACTTGGCCTCTTCAGTTCCTATGTGGCGGCCTGAGATTCAGTCTGTAAGGTGGGGGCCTGGTAGCAGGACCCTGTCTCACTTTGCTTTGCTGAGAGTTCCTCTTTCCTTTTTTCCTTTTAACCCAATAAACCCTTCCCTGCATCTCACCCTACAATATGTTCGTGTGACTAAATTTTCCCGGTAGTGTGAAAAGAACCTGTTTTACGTGTGTGTGTGTGTGTGTGTGTTTGTGTGTGTGTGTGTTTGTGTGTGTGTGTGTTTGTGTGTGTGTGTGTGTGTGTGTGTTTTCCTGCAACAGAGGCAGCTATCAGCAAACCACAAGGCTGGATAGGGGCAGGGCTGGGATTTGAACCCACATTTCCCAATCCAGATTCCAGATTTTTTTCTTCTGTTCTTCAGGGTTTTGTCCTCTAGTTGCTTATTCATTTTTTATCCATTTGACAAAATCCCAAGTCAAACTTTGTTTACCTCAGAAATTCATGTTTCCCTTTCTTTCTACCTGTTCTGCGCAGAGGACTCTTCCATCTTCTAAACCCCTCCAGACCGTCTCTATCCAGATTTGGCACCTACTTCATCAGGCTGACAGTTAAGAAGTGAGTGTGTGTGTGTGTCTTGGAGCTCCATTGGTGTGTAAGCCAAGCACTTGGCACACATCATCTGCACCTGGCACATCAGCCTTGTGAGAGGTATTTTTAGACTCATTTGTAGATGAGGAAACTGATGCACAATGAGGATGAGCCACTTGCCCAACGTCACAAAGCAAGTCAGTGATGAAGATAGGATTCTAAGCCTTCTGGCCCCAGAATCCACATTCCCTCCACTATTCTGTGCTGAATCCCTTGTTGAACCCCTAATTTCATAGGTGAGCAACTGAGGCCCATGGAGGGAGAGTGGCTAGCCCCAAATCCCACAGCTGTGAATAGTCATGCTAAGACCGTGTGCAAAGGCTCACATCTGGGAACCTTTCTTCCCCAGCAGGCTGCCTCCCCAGGTCTAATGCAGGTCCCAACTATTGCTGCCAGTTGGTTCTTATTACCTGGATGCCATGGAAATTGTACCTTGTAGCTCTTGATATACCAGGAGCCTGGTGGTGGCTCCCTGGGGGAGAGCCAAGGAAGGTCAGAGTACTAGCCTGCAGACCCAGCACCTAAAATAAACCAGACAGCAACCCCAGTGGAAACCAGGCAGCAACCCAAGAGCGTGACATAACCTTTCCACAGCTCAGGGCTGGGGGCGGCTTCCAGCTCCAAGGTTCCCTGTGTACAGCACCTAACAGAGCACACGTGCATGTCAGGGCTGCGGTTTCTTCCTTTTATTTTAAAGAAAATGAGTTTCTTTTATTCTGGTTCTGGAATTGAGGGCTGGCAGAAATTGAGGGAGCTAAGATCCAGGGGACCCTTGGACCATGGTGGGGAGGAGGCAAGGAATAGTCTTCAGATTGCTGGTTTCCAAATTTAAGTGTTCATCAGAATCACTGGAAGAGCTTTCAAAAATGATTCAGGTGTCATTCCAGTCCTATAGAATCAGAATCTCTGGGAATAAGGCCTGGGAATCTGTATTTGAACATGTTCTCCAGGTGGGTCTCCTCTGGTTCAGGTTTGTGAACTACCTTCCCAAATACGCCTCTTCACGGCTATCTCCATTTGCTGGTGGTCTACCAGATCTCCATCTCCCATCCTCAACTCTCACTTAGTACATTTTTTTTTTCCACTTGTAAAATTTAAATTCTATATTGTCCATGTCCATAGCTTTGAGGGTTGGTGTGATAACAGCACTTAATGGGGATTTCTGTTATTTTTTAAAATGGCAGATTTTAGGTTTTCTCTTTAAATGAAAGTTTAGGAGGGGTCTGTTCTGCCAGAGGAGTAAGTCCCTTGAGAAGTCAGTTTTGAAAAATTTGGTTGTTTTAGAAGTCTGTCTCTGAGACCCTTAGTATCCAAAGCAGTCCGTGAAAGTCAGAGGTTGCCATGGTAATGGCAGCTGCCAGGAGACAGGCTATTGTGTTTAGATTCTTGTACTAATAACGCGCTCTCCAGCAGCCAGAAATACCTGTTGAAAGAGGAGAGTTTCTTTTCTTCTTATTTAAGAAGAGTTTGGGAAGTTACTTTCCTCTGCCTTGAAGAGGATGAGGGGTTTGTCGTTAGGTGTCCAAGTGACTGTTTTTTCTCCTCTTGCTCAAGGTTAAGAAAGAGAACTCAGTTGGAACCTCGAATCCTCCTAGCCCACCAGAAGACTAGAGAGGAAAAACAAGCTTAGGTGACTTCTCCTCCAATAAGCCCAGGCATATCTAAGGGGGAGACACACTGGCCATGGGGAGACCCTGGATGTGTGTTGACACCAAGCTGATCTGAATTCCAGGCTCAAGTTCTAGATGCGCATTCTTCCCTGGAGAGGAAATAAAGAATTCTGGGGAAGTTGTTAGCAGCATTTCAGTGGAAAGAGCATTGGATTTCATGCATCTCCTAGCTGCATGACAGGGCAAGCAAAGGAAAAGGAGGAGAGGACTAGTTTTAGTTGAATATTATACCTACCACAAGTTAGGTGTTGTGTTAGACGCAGGGAAATAAAAATCACTAAGATAGGGGTGGGCGTGGTGGCTCACACCTGTAATCCCAGCACTTTGGGAGGCTGAGGTGGGTGAATCATGAGGTCAGGAGTTCGAGACCAGCCTGACCAACATAGTGAAACCCCGTTTCTACAAAAATACAAAAAAAAAAAAAATTAGCTGGGCGTGGTGGTGCATGCCTGTAATCCCAGCTACTCAGGAGGCTGAGGCAGGAGAATTGTTTGAAGCAGGGGCATGGAGGTTGTAGTGAGCTGAGATCGTGTCACTGCACTCCAGCCTGGGCAACAGAACGAGACTCTGTCTCAAAAAAACAAAAAAACAAGAAAACCTCCACTAAGACAGAATTTGTGCTTACAAGGAGTTCACTGTCTCGAGGCAAGCATGGAATCAGAGATGGCAAGTGGTGGTCATTTTGTTTGCTGACTGGACTGCTGTGATGAGTGTTTTCTGTGGGGAGGAAGGGATGCATGTCATTTGCTATGTCTGGATCTAAATAAACAATACCATGATTTCCACTGCTCAGGAGAGCTGTATGTGGTGCCCTGTGGTGTCCTGTGGTGCAGGTGAGACGTCTAAAGACAGCATCATTCACACTGGATCAGGATGGATGAAGTACTGAAGGAGGCCAGATTGGTGGAGCCAGTCTGGGCAGGGGTGTGGCTGTTTCCAGGCAAGGTAAGGGGTCCTTCTGTGAACTCAGAGAAGTTTTCTGTTTTGTGTCTTTTCTCAAAGCCCTGGTATAGTGCTAGCCCTTAGCAACATTATAAAGTGCACTCAGTTTGTCTTTGGGGAAATTCGCCTTTTTGAGTCCTTTACCCTTTTAAAAATATTTCTTTCTTTGTTTCTCCTTATTCTTGATCAGGTCCGTTTTTTTCAGGGAGAAAATTGTCAACAATTTATACTGCTAAGGGTAATTTAAACCACTCTAGAAAGGCTTCTATTTAAAAGAAAGAGCCATGAGGTGATGGATATGTTAATTAGCTTGATTTAATGACTCTACATTATATTCATAAATCATAACACTACTTTGTACCCAGAAATAGATGCAACTACAAATTGTCAATTGACAATAAAATAAAAATAAATAAAAGTAAAAAAAGGAAGAGCCGAAGAACAATGCTTAACCCCAAGCAGCTAATGTTGGGGATCCAGTCCGCATGCACCTAACTGGGGAAATTCTTCAGGCCAGGGGTTGGCAAACTTTTCCTGTAAAGGGCTAGGTAGCAAATATGTTCAGCTTTGTGGGTGATGCAATCTGTTGCAACTACTCAGCTCTGTCGCTGTTCTGCAAAAGCAGCCACAGACAATACCAGTAAGTGGATGGGAGTGGCTATGTTCCAATAAACCTTTATTTATAGACACCGAAATTAGAATTTCATGTATTTCATGTGTCATAAAATATTATTTTTCTTTGCATTTTTTTCCAACCATTAAAAATGTGAAAAGGATTCTTCGCTTATGGACCGTACAAAAACAGAATTCCATGGGCCATAGTTTGCCAACCTTTGCCTTCCTCTCACCTCTCCTATCACATTCTAAGATGAGCAGCGCTGTGGGGTGAGGTCACTCTGCCTAGAGATTCTCTTTGCATGACCTGGTAGTTTATCTATTTCTTTC